TTAGTAATAAATTAAATATTTAACGTCACCCATTTTAAAAAGACAGCACATAACTCATAATAAAAAGAACGTTAAAAATCTTTAAAAAAAAAGAGAGAGAGAGAGAGAGAGAGAACCCAATACTGTTAAATAGGAAAAAAGTGCACAAAGTCAATTTTATACATTGCATCTAGAGAAAAGTACATCTTAAATACATAAATCACCGTGTCAGAAGAGCAGAGACCCAATTCCTCGCTTAGGATGGAACGGAGAGAGCCCGGAAGAGGCCATTCATAATGGATCTCTCTCTTTTGCTCATGCCGTTTCGGTCCTCGTTTGCCTTTCCTCAAACAGGCCCTGTCTGCCCACCTCAAACTGAAGACATGTGTTCCAGTTGAGTTCAGAGAGAAAGACAACAGGCCCAATCACAGCACAGTTTCAGACACTGTAGACGTTTCCCCAAAGAGGGCCCTTCTGGAGGATCTCAAACTGGTTTCAACCATTTTCCGTACATGGGCACAATCACTCCGAAAGAGAGTTTTGCCAGAGGAACTGAGTTAGACCAGAATTGGACTGGGTGAAATAGCACGACTGGCTGGCCCCAGGACCTTCCTCCTTCAAGACCCTTGGGAATTGCAATTGGATGAGGTTGGGCCAGAAGGAACGTGTAGAAGTTTCAAACAGGGATCGCCGCAAGATTGGGAGAATTGGTTTTGGACAGGTAGAAAATGAAAGGATGGAGAAAAGTAAAAACAGCATTAGTAGGAACAGATGTCCTGGTAACTGATGGTCAACGAGTTCCCTCTTGGTTGGTTGGCTGGCTGGCTGGCCTAAAATGCAAAGGACATCTCTCATTATTGGCCATCTCTCATTTGTGATCCTTTTCTTTAATAATACCATGCAATAGCTGTTCATCCTGAGGCGTTGTCACATTTGTTTGGAAGCATAGGGGAAACTGCTGCTTTCCACCCAGAACGGTACCTCTGGTTAAAAAAATTCCTTCAAATTTCCTGAGCAGAGGACACAACAGTAAGTTTTCAAGTCTACTTGAAAAGAAGGCATCTCAGCATCAGGATTAAGTTAGATTGGCTTGCGGGTCTGGCCATCGTAATTGGCAACAATGTCCACTTCTGTTTCCTGCTCACAACACTTTCAAGATGTAATGGTTTCCAATTTTGCTTGAACTGGGTGTTCCGCACAGGATCTCACCATCCCAAAAATGCAAGTGGTCAATTTCATCATTTTTGTTTCTAAAAGTGGGTCTAATGTCCCACGAGACTTTTTTCTTTTTCTTTTTCTTTTTTTTTGGATCTCCAAAGGCACTGAGACAGCCTAATCCAGCAGATGAGAAGCACATCCCTTTAAAAAAATTACATCTAAGGGTGGAGTAAAGAATGCATCTGAATATTTCCTCTTGGTTCTATGTCTTCAGCTGGAATGGAGCAGAATCTAACCAGAGGAGGAGGAGATCTCAGATGGAATTGGGGAATAACAAGAATCGAGGGAGGAAATCAAGAATTCATGAGCAAAGTATCAAAATCAACAGAAAGCTCGAAGACACCTGGATGGAAGACTAAATTAACACGTGTTTGTAAAGAATGTTTCTATTTTATCAAAATTTTGATGATGGTCAAAAGCATAATCCACCCAAAAAATAAAACCACTGGAAAAAGCACAGTCCTTAGAAGCAATGAACCTGCCTGCATACTCCAGGCCGACCATTCACAAGCTCAGCCTAACCAGACCTCGCAGGATGGTTATGATGATGTTGAAAAAAAGAAAGAAAGAAAGAAAGAAAGAAAGAAAGAAAGGTCATCTCCTAACACTCCCTGAGCAGAAAAATGAAATGTAAACGACATCTGGCTTCCTACTTTTGCAAAAATATACCAAGGGTAAGTTGTACATTAAGGAGAAGGCATCGGGGCTGGACACCATGCATGTATGGCTATTCCAGCATGCCAGCCACTCTACATTTGACACTAGTTGTCTGGAGAAGGGGTGTAAATGTGAATTGGAAGCCCATTACTGCAGAGGTAATGGAGTTGAGAGGACAGATGGGAAAAAGAACACCTATCTCTTTGGACCCGTCGTGTTAACCACACAAGATGACCTCATCGTGGAGAGAGAGAGAGAGAGAGAGAGAGCTAGGCTGATGACTTAGATAATCCAGGTTGATTACGATCAGATAAAGTCATGTGAAGGAGGCCATGGCCATTACACAAATATGACGTTGCAAGGAGACTTAGGAGACCTGGATGCTCAAGTGCCCTTGAGTTGGCCAAGGGATGGTGGCTGCAGATGGAAGGAAACAATCGAGAGAGAATAAATGTAGCTTGGAGCCAGCATGCATTGACAAGCAACACGAAGCCAAGCCGATTCAAGAAGTTGGGATTCCAGCCAAACCAAACTCGTGTGCAGTAGATTCTCTGTTCTTCAAGGGATCTAATCCCCAAGCCTTAGTCTCCCGTTTGAATCGACTCAACATTCTGGAACATCCCATGATTTGATGCTGCAGAATGAGGTGGAGAAGAGAATGGCCTTAGACACCCCAAGGAGGCACTGCAGAGGTTTCCCCTACTCTGAGAAATATCTCTTTTTCCATCCTTCTTCTTCCTCCCCTCCAAACAAGTGTCTGCTTTGGAGCTTACACACGCCCTCAAGAGAAACTGCCTACTTTCTAACCCTAAAGTAAAATCTGTCTTCTGAACAAGACCACCTAAAAACCCAGAGTGGGTTTCGAGAATAACTTGTTTCTTGTTCTACAAAAAAACAAAAAAAAAAACCATAATAAAATAAATAGTGCCCACCCACCCCCAATAACCTGAATTCTGGAATTCTGTGAGCCCTCTGCAATCATGCATTGGTGAGAAGGGGAATCACAGCCTTAATAAGAGTGCACATGCAAAAGAAAAAAAGAAGAAGAAGACTATTTCTATCCCCAGTGCCCAAGAGATTTGATCAGGGAATTTGGTTACTTAGGGATATCAACCACCCGCCCCCAACCCAGGTTTGTTCTAGCTATCTAGCTAAAGGTTGCTTCAAGAAGTGAGAAGGGAGAGATGTTAATGCTGCTCCCTGGCTGTGGCTGTTTTCTTTTTTTAAAAAAAGGAGGAAGGAAAGAAAAAAAAAGGGGAGGGGAGGGAACCCATCGCCGGCAATGAGTTCCTTCTTCCAAGCCTCACCCACTTTGGGAAGTCAAGGGTGAAGACAGGTGCAAGAGTTGAAGGACGAAGACAGAGATATTCTTTCAAGGATAGGTGGCCATATTTGTTCCCTGGCTGGAGGCGCTTAAGGGTGTAGGATAAAATGCAGTTTACAAAAGACAAACATTGAGGCAGAGGTCTGTATTCCCTCCTCCACATCCACAGCCTTTTCGCTGTGACAACAGCATTTTTCCTCCAATACAGAAAGGACATTTCCATCAGAATAGAGCTGGAAGGGACCTCGGAGGTCTTCTAGTCCGGCAATCCAAGGACGGAGTAAACCAGCATATGAGGAAGAGCAGAGATGTCCCAGACATGCTAATTCTCTACGTCCAGAGATTTTTCTCTTTTAGCACGGAGGTGTGTTTGAGGATGAGATAGTCACTGGGAACAAGTCGATTGCCGCTAGCGGAAGCAGTCCGAAACCAGGTGACCTTTCAGCTGGTTTATTTATTCCTCTCTCTCTCTGGTCTTTCATCAGTGAAGTTCTTAAAGGAGAATTGCGCTGAGGACTGGGCCAAGAGGCACCTCCTCAAAGCCCAGATCGAGTGTCTCAGAAGTTGCCCCACCTCAAACACCCGCTCTGAATTTTCCAGGAGGAAGAGGAACCCTCCCTGGTGGACCATCTGGGACAATCAATGGCTCCCCTTGCTTGCTAGCCAACTGGCCAAAACGTTCCTGCACAGATGCAGGACGTTCTGTTGTTCTGGGTGCAAAGGCAAGCCTGTCCCACACGTCCCAGCCAACCTAGCCTGAATTAAACATCTTGTCTTCACCCTGCAGGGATTGCGGTCCTCATCTTGGAAGTGGCTTGAGTTATGGCTTGAACCAGCTAAGCTAACCTCCGGGTTAATTTCCCACGATAAATCAGTCGTCATCGCCAGAAAGTGTTTGGCTTGCAGGAACCTGACAGCCTGGGAAGGAGGGAGGGAGGGGTTTCCCCCCCCCTTCCCAACGCCTCTTGATCCGTGAACTGCAGCACGTGCTGAGAAGACACCAAACTGGCAGCCCAGCTGAACGTCACCCCCTGCCTGTTCCACGCTCAAAACAGGGGGGGGGGGCTATCTCATTCCTGGCCACGTGTTACTGTGTATGCGTGCATGCTCGTTTGTGTGTCTCGTGTGTCTGGTTCTCCCTCCAGTCGATTTGGATTTCGGCACTGCCGAGGGTGTGCACAAGACGAAGAAGAGAGACAGATACAGGGAGAGAGAGAGCGAGATTTAAGAAGAAGCCTCCGTCAGGTGCATGTTTGGGATCACTTTCCAAATGTTGCTTCAAATCCTTCCTCCCGCCTCCTAAAAACATTTTGCCTCCAAACCCTGCTTTTTAGGCCCGGAGAGACCATTCAGACAGTCAGTTGCTTTTTTTTTTTAGGGAAGAGAGGGGGAACCGAAGGGCGGATTTAAGCTCAGATGCACCCACTCCTCCTGAACCCAATGCAAAAAATAATAATAATAATAATAATAAATCTGATCTCGGTTGATTTTTAAGGGTCCTCTCTCGCTCTCCTCCTCCTCTCGCTGTGCAGCTTTCAGCCCATCCACTCTTTAGTGTTCTGAACGGAAACTTTCGGTCAGCAAATTCCCCTACCCCAAAACACACGTCTAGAGTTTGTTTGTTTCCTTTTTGTTTTGTTTTTTTTGTGTGTGTTTTTTTCCTTGGGCTCAGTTCAGCTTCCTTAAATTTGGACCCAAACGCGGAGGTGGCGGCGGCAGGGTTGCCGAAGTTCTCACTAACACTCATCTATGTTAAGGCTGATGAACTCCTGTATACATTTTCGGTACTGAAGCTCTGTAGGGCTATTGTTGGTATATTGACCTGGGTGTCCGAAAGGGCCCTCGGCTTCACGCATCTCTTCATTCATCCGAGCCAGACGCAGCCTGCAGGGCGAGAACCGGAGAGACGTTTTAGCTGGCCAAGGGAGAAAACGGCGCTTGGGTCAAACAGGGATCGTACAGGCAGTTGGGAGTTAAACCCTTCGGCACTAAGGAAGCAGCAGAGTTGCTTAAGACGGTGGCCTGTCAGGGCTAAGCCTCGATTCTCGGGTTTTTTTTTGGCCAATAACTGGCCAACTCTATTCCTGGGTGTTCGAGTTTCCAAGTCAGCAACTTCCAGCCCTGACATGGAGCTCATCTCTGACACAGTAAGGACCCACTTACAAGGTCACGATGTCCGCATTAGCGGCCTGGACAGCGATGCTGAGGGGGTCCTGCCCGTCCTCGTCAGCTGCGTGCTGGTTGGCTCCTCTCTTTAGGAATAAGCAGACCTGGCTGCCAAATGTTGAAAGAGGAGAGAAAGAAACCAGAGAGAGAAGAACGAGGTTAGCCAAGAATATGCTGTGACGGAGAAGGACAGTTTGAAGAGGCGGACGACACAACCTTAAGAAGCAATAATGTATCACACTAGACCAGGGGTAGTCAACCTTGGCTCTTTTATGACTCGTGGACTTCAACTCCCAGAATTCCTGAGCCAGCTGTGCTGTGCTGGCTCAGGAATTCTGGGAGTTGAAGTCCACGAGTCATAAAAGAGCCAAGGTTGACTATCCCTGCACTAGACTTTCATAAGAAGCTACTTTACACTGGACCGTTTCCTCTCTTTAGACTTTCCACTTGGAAAATGACCACCATCTGGCTCAGATTGATCAGGAGTTGCTTCTAACTAACCCAGGTCGCTAGCTTTGGTCTCAATCCCAATTACCCAGGTCCTATGGGTGGCACGTGCCTGGGTCTCTCTCCAGTGCCTTGAAAACCAGCTAGCTGGGATACGCCATCTCTGGTTTTTGATCTGCTGCTCCGTTGTCCTCGGGAGCACAGAGCAATGGTGTCTCCGGGGCACAGTCACAGCTGCAAACAGCAGTTGACTCCCCCAGAATTTTGAACTACCACCTTCACAGCAAAGTGACTTACCCGGTGTGGCCCAAATATGTGGCATGATGCAAAGGTGCCCGCCCTCGGATATCTCTTTGGTTAACGTCTGCCCCGTTCTGGAGCAAAAATTCACAGGCTATTAGTGAGCCCTGAAAGAAGCAGAGAAAGACAAGTTAGCTTTGGAGTCTTGGACTTCTCTTAAGGTAGTCCTTGCCTTAATGACGTTTAGTGACCGTTCATAGTTAAACAGCAGGGGTTCTTCTCCCTCCGAGTAGGTTTTTCTGGCCTACAATTAGCAGGAAGCGGTGAAATCTAGGTGGTGCTGACGAAGCCCACCCAGGGCACACAGACCTGTTAGGACCTGCTTTTCACCCCGATGGAGCCACCTCAAAACTGGCACGGCGACACGTGGATCTCGCTCACCCCCATGACAGCTTGGATCAGCGGGGTTTTGCTCTCATCCTCTTCGTTCACCCAGTTGACGCTGGCACCGTGGGCCAGGGCCTCCGCCATGACGGGCAGGTTCCTGGCCCTTGAAGCCTTGTAAGCGAGTAAGCCAGGATGGAGCGCCCTCAGGTCTTCCAAATCGGAGGCCTCCTGCTCAATTTCGACTTCCCCGCTGGATTCTTCTGATGCTTCCCCCTCTGCAGGAAGGGAGGAAGAGAAGGGAATGAAATACCGGAATCCAAAGCATCGATGCCGAAGCTTGTATCTCCCAACAAGATAAAATGACTTTGCCAGGTGTGGTGACTAACAGCAATTGATCTTATCCCTCTTCTCTGATCTCACGTTGGTGGCCACTCCTGTAGGATGCGGTAGTGAAGTTCTACGGCTGCGCTCTGCTTTGGGCAAAGGTAGAGATTCCTGCGGCCCACCTGCCTCTCTTGGGGGAGGTCTCACCTTCTTCTGTGACACTATCAACCACCGAGCCAAACACCAAGACGTCTATGCTGCCATCAGTGCTCCCACCCAGTCCACTGTCGCTGCTTAGACCTAAGGGATCAAAGGAGGAACCAAGTCAACTTGAATGTATGGGCACCATAAACTGCTGGTCTTTTCCTGTGTTGGTTGGTCAAGCTTCCTGCTCTCCCTCTTCTGGTTGCCCATCTAGGATGGAATTCCACCATATCTACCCCTTTCCTGAAACATTTTCCTCTCTCCCCCCCCACCAATTTTTTCTGAATTCCCCCAGGCCCACATTTCCTTTGGAAATCCCTTGCCACTAGCGTGATTTTGTTGGTGGAAGGATTTCCAGATTGTGTGAAAAGGTGGGCGTCTGGGAGCTTTTACTAAAAGGAACCAGGCAGATGAACATCCCTCAACAATGGCCCTTAGAAGAGAGAAGGAACTGGGGAAAGCCAGAAAGCGGAGAGATACAACTATAAGCACACGGGACAGAGCGGTGCTCGGTTTGCCCTTTTAAAATCAGTGAATGAGTGATGGGCCAGTGTTGTGTCCTGAAATCCCCTCCCCTCGAGGGACTTAATAATAGGGATGGGGACCCATGAGCAAATAGAAGGTTTTGTCCCACTGGGAAGTCTCAGCTCTGGGTAGAAGGCAGATCAGTAAGCTAAAAAGTCAGGAAGAGTGAAGAATTAGGAGAGAAACATTCCGACATTCAACCCGATTCTAATGACTACAGTCCCACTTAACTTTAATCAAACTGGGTTTGATCGCCCTCCCTTCTCTAGGCTGTACCTGCCCATTTTGGGTGTGGAAGCACACATTTCAAAGACCAGGCTTGGCTCTCGGCCAAAGTTGGATTCCCCTGAAGCTGTTCAAAGTCAGTTCTTTCTGGGAAGATGGGATCCAGGGCTTCAGAGCCTTCTACTCTGAGGTTGCCAGATATACAGGAAGATAGATATTAGATATCCATGGTGACAAAGCCAGGCAGCACCCGACTCTAGTCATGTTCTACAGCAGTGATGGCGAACCTTTTAGAGACTGAGTGCCCAAACCGCAACGCAAAACCCACTTATGCATCGTCGAGTGCCGGGTGGGTGTGGCCCATTGGCTGGGTGTGGCCCGTTGGGTGGGCGTGGCCCATTGGCTGGGTGTGGCTGCGGTGGTAACGGCAGACTGGGTGGGACTAAAAAGTTCAATCAATCAATTCCAACTTTGCAAGATCTTTTTTTTTCCCCGCGAGAAGTTGAAATTGACTGATTGATTGAACCTCTTTTTTTTTGCACACGGTGGCGGAGGCCTAAAGCGAAAAGGTTTTATAAAACCCAGCTGAAGGCCTAGGACTGGGGCGACGGTGCGCATGCCCACAGAGAGGGCTCCGAGTGCCGCCTCTGGCACCCGTGCCCTAGGTTCCCCACCACTGTTCTACAGCCTTACCTCCATCCAGGAGAAACGGCGAACCGCTGCCTCCAGGGCCATTGCTGGTCTCACTCCACGGGCTGGCTCCCACAGGCTGTTGAGTTGACGCCTGGTTCCCACCTGGGGCGGAGGAGATTAAAAACACGACAATGGGCAGCCGGAGCTTAAATTTGGCACAAAGCAAGAGAGAAGGGAGGGAAAAACCTAGATACTGAATTGGAGAAAGTCCAGAAAAGTCAACGTTTCTCCCTTGACTGCCTTTCTCTCGTAGCTGAGCATTTGAGCTACAGCTGTGTGAGGGATTACGCATCCATCTGCCCCACTTACTGCGTGGGCCTGCTCCCGTGTCAAAGTACGAGAAGAGGGAATCCAGTTCGTCCGGACAGAAGAGGGAATCTCGCCGGAACTTCCTTTCCAAAGTGGCAGCTATTTGGAAAAGAACGTTGTTGCCATTTTTCTAACGCAGAGACGCCAACACGTACAAATAGCTCCGTTTATAAAAAAAAATAAATGCAAAGCTGGGATTTTTTTAACTGTGGTTTATTGGACAAATCACAATGCTAGGCTAGCTCCCTGATAATGACTTGTTACCGGCAAACCCTGGACATTGGCTCAACAAGCCATATCCAAACCAGGTTAGATCACAGCATGATAACGCGAACCACTTCAGGAGGCTGCAATGGAGTGACTTTGGCTAATAGCAAACCTGGTTTGTTCTTGGAGGATTGTTCTTGGCCAGGGGTAGGCAA